GGTGATTTCTTTCCATGTCGATTAGTTGTTGTTTCTTTTCTTTAGGTTTTTGTTTGTGTATACACACGCCTTGTTTACTTTCTCAGCCGGTAGGTGGTGTCTGTGGGTGAGATTTGACCCCTCCCTGTATAAGTCAGTAGGTGCCGTGAAAAGGGTGTGCAGGATGTCCTCCCTGTCAATAGGTGGCACTTGCTTGCAGGAACAGGCTATGCTGTTGTTTTTGTGTCCTCTTATCAGCTCTTGTTCTTTTAGAGAGGCACTCTATTGCCTCAGGTGGTGGGTGGGGCCCTGGGACTTCCACTTGTGTCCTTTTCTCCACCTCAGTGAGGGCTGGTCTAGGAGAGTGTCTGGGTGGAGCTGGGTTGGGTAAGCCTGCCCTCAGGCGCCACCAATGCCGTTAGCAGGGGTCAAAGTTCTGTTCTCTGCTTCCAGGAAAAGCTGTCAGGGAGGGGCTGGAATTGCCCCACTCAGCCAGAAAAACTGCGTGTGGGGGTGGGGCTGTCTGAGACCCGCAGTCTGCAGCAGGCCTCACTTCTTTCCACCCTCCCCAACTCCGCGGCTACTCCTGGGCCTCTGCCAGTAGGCCAGACCACACGCCACCAGGCCTCCCCTGCCTATGATGCTGGCGGGGAGATTCCCTGCGCAGGAATGCCACCTGGGCTGGGTGTACGGCCTCCTTTTGGGAGGAGGGTTGCCCTCTAGGACGCTGATCTGCCCCTGAAGGCACACACACCTCAGTAGGCTGTTCACATATATCCCTTCTGTGCCCCGGGCAATGCAAGACCTCGGTGCACGGGATCTGGTCTGCAGGTCTGACCTCTGGGTCCCAGAGTTCATACTATATCCCCACCAGGGAGAGGAATGCCAGTCCCAATTCACCCACAGGGAGCCCAAGCTGGGTCTATGTCTCTCCGACTCAGGGTCTGCCCTATTCTCCTGGGATCACTGTGCCAGCAGCACCTGGGAGGGCTGGCAGGTAGGGAGCTCACAGTCTGAGTTCCCCTTAGTCAGCTGCAGGGCCCCAAAAGGGAAGGTCCTGTTCCCTGGAGGTGCCTCCGGCTGGTGGCTGTATTGTCTCTCTGGGCAGCCACGCATAGGGTCGAGGGAGGGGAGAAGGAGGCAATATGGCCTGCCGTGCGGCTCGGGTCTGTGCACATGGAAGTGCCCCGAGGGAATTGGGAGCCTGGTGCCGAGTCTGCCACTGGCTTACTGCTTACTGGTGGCGGCCGTGGCTGGGCTGGTGTCCGCAGGTCTCTCCACCCGGTGGGGAGTCCACCAGCAGTCTGAGATGCAGGGACGGGGAAATGGCTGATCCACCAACCCTTCCCACTGGTCTCTGGGCTGCTCTGGTGGTCCCAGCTTCCAGTTCTCCTCCGTGACCTCTTCCTGTGGAGTCTCCCGTGGTCTCAGGTACCCCTCCTTCTGACCCTTGTCCGATGTAGGCTCGTCTTCTTGCTTCTTTCTTCTAATTTCTGCTAGAATTTGTCTTTTCTGCAGAGACACTCTGTCTGGCAGTATTTCGTGTCCGCCATCTTGATTCCCCCCAAATGTTTTCTTCCATTTTAGTGTTCTGAATTTGGTTGATATCCATTGCTAGAGAGCTGGTGTTCCACTTTGAGGGTGTGCATTCCATTTGATTCTTCATACTTCCAGAGTTCTTTCACTGATTCCTTCCCACCTGGATCAGCTGTTGCTTCTTATCTTCATATATTTTTTAGATAATGACACACCCAATTTAGTCTATGATCCAGTAGGTGGTGTTTGTGGGTGAGATATGACCACACCCTGTATGCTGAGTTAGTAGATGCAATAAAAGTGTGTTCAGAATAACCTCCCCATCAGTAGGTGGCATTGGCTGGGAGGAACACACTGCAGTGTTGTTTTGGGGTCCTGTATCCATCTCTCTTTCCCCCAGACAGGCCCTCTAGTGCCTCTCATGGTAGGTGGGGCTCTGGGACTTCAAAGTGTGTCCTTATTCTCCACCTCAGTAGGGCAGGTGGGGAAATAAGGCTGAGTGGGCTGAGTTGGGTGATTCTGCCCTCAAGCTTCACAAATGCCCTTAGCAGGGGTCAAAGTTCTGTTGTTTGCTTCTGGGAAAAGCTGCCATGGAGGGGCTGAAATGGTCCCATTCAGCCAAAAAGTCTGCATGTTAGGGTGGGGCTGTCTGAGACCTGCTGTCTGGTGCAGGTCTTGCTCCTTTCCACCCTCCCCTATTCCAGGATTTGATAGTCACAGTGGCTAAACTTCAAAGATAGCATTGAGCTTAATCAAGGTAGATATTTTATGGTAAAGTTAAAGTCATAGTTGGAAAAATCTAATGTCTCGACTTGTGGGATTGGATTTCTAGGTGTAATCCTCCAAGGATTTTGACTTTCAAGAAATCCATACCTTTTGATACTGCAGAGATGACACAACCCTGCCACCCCCTGCCACCCAAGTAAGTGCAAAAGGCTATAGAAGAGGTACTTCTTCAGGAACTTCCTTTACCTTCTCTCCTCAACACCAGACTTATAAATAGGATTATCACTGCACAAGACACCCAGGGGCACACTGGGCCTGACAAAGAAAGAAAAGGAGTATGCCACAAAGGAACTGCAAGACTTACCACACCTATACCAATAGGGGCCAGGGGAAAACTCATGGTGCTAGATTCTGAGGGTGCTGGACCAGAAGGCTGGTAAACAAGACTGGATAAGTGAGAGTTCCTTGACTTGATCTGGGGAGAAAAGATAGGAACTTTGACAGCAAGGAGGTCTAGGGTATGTGCATGTTGATGGAGTGGGCATGAAGGTCTTTGTATCCCACAATAAGACTAAATCAATAGATAAAATGACTCAGCCAGTTAATATTAGTTTATTTCTGTCAGCAGCCACCCCAGTACTGGCATGATGCCCCCAAGAACAAAGTGGCCTAGCAGCAGAGATAAAGGCTATGCTAGGGCCCAATCAGTAAGGATTCCCATTGACCAAGGCCAACCATATTTACTAGTGATATGTTTTGGACTGAACTGTGTCCCTCCCAAACACATATATTGAAGTTCTAACCCCCAGTACATTGGAATGTAACTGTATCTGGATACAAAGTCTTAAAATAGGAAGTCAATGTTAAATGAGATCCCAAAGGCAGAGCCTTATTCCAATATGACTGGTGTTCTTAGAAGAGGAAGAGACCACAGGTGAGTTCACAAGGAAAAAGGCCATGTGAGTATATAGCGAGAAGGGTGCCATCTGCAAGCCAAGCAGTAACACCTAGAGGAATTCAATCTTGCTGTCACATTTGACTTACACTTCAAGCTCTCAGAGCTGTGAGAAAATAAATTCCTGTGTGAGCCACCCAGTCTGTGATATTTTATTGTAGCAGCCCTAGCAGCCTTATGTAGGACAGCTTCTATCTCCTTAAAAAAATCACAAATCAATGAATACAAATACACTCATGTACATTTAGGATTAATATAACTTGATTTCTAATTATAATTCATTAAATAGAAATTCAATCAATTCTATATGAATTGAAGTAATACCAAGGAACAATTCAGATGCTTAAGTCAAGTTTAATATGTAATAAAGACTCAGTGAAAAATGAGTTGGTATTTATTAAACCATCACAAACTCAAAAAGGTCTAGATGTCACTAGGTTACATGTGCATAGGGGCTATCCCTCAATGAAATACAAAAATTATAAGACCCACCCACCTAACATTTAGCAGACATGTTTTGTTAATCTTAATCAATATCACTATCATTTTACACAAACTATTTTTTAATTGTCATATGAATTTGGATTACTTCCTATTCAATAATAATTTCTTCAATCAATAATATAGAAACTTAATTAAAATTTATCCCAACCTTTTCCCCAAATAGTCCTAAAATGATTCAGTATGTTTTCTCTTCTAGTTAGATTGCACAATGAGTTATAACAAAAATTTAAAAGACACACAATGCCAATTTTGCCAATAAACTTCTTAACACACAAGGCAATTCTCCTCAAATATTCTCTTCTGGGTGTGGAGGCATGTGCCTATAGTTCCAGCTACTCAAGAGGCTGAGGAAAGAGGATTGTTTCAACCCACAGACTTAAGGCTGTAATGTTCTATGATCATATCTTTAAATAGCCATTGCACTCCAGCCTGGGCAACATAGCAAGACCCTAACTCTAAAAACAAAAAACAAAAGAAAACTAAATTACTTATAATCAGTCTGTATGCCTGCATTCAAAAATCATGTAGCATGGAAAAGTCTACAAACACAGACCCACCACCAAAAACCCAAACTATAAGAAGCCCACCACCACCATCTACCAGGTGTTTGATGTGCTATTATATCATAAACACATACTTTTAAGACTTAGAAATTTGATCAACAAAAATCGCTTATGTTATATTTCAATTGGATAATATTTTCTATCTATAAATATATATGTTGATATAAATATGTACATGTATCAAAGGATACCAACTTTCTTTCACAAAAGTCACTGGCCTCGTATTTTCACTTGACTGTCAACCCAAGACCATCCAATGACTATGGATCCTTACTCAGCTTCAAATTCAAAGAGGATAGACATGACTCCCCTGACCTTGGGAAGGTATTTAGCATTACCTCAAAGGCCTCCCCATAAGTAGAAGAATTCAAGATGATTTGAAATCACTGCTTACTGTGGATATTATAAGGGGGAATGAGACATTAGATGTTCCCTGAGATATTAAAGTTACTCCTAACTCTAACTCTATTGGAAATCCATGACAAACATATC